AGGGTCTCGGGAAACGGGTGTGCTCACCGTGGCACCAGCGTGGGTGCGCGGGGAAACTATCAGATGCCATCATGTACTGCTGGAGGGACTGGGGTGCCAAGCTCAGGGGATTTTCTGCAGGTCCAGGGATCTCTGAAACCCAGAACAGGACAAGAAGACTCACCTCCCGCACCACAGACTCAGATGGGTCCTGAGGCCACCCCCAAATCCTGGCTCCCATCAAGAAGCGGCATGCTGTGTCTAGCCAGCAAAGGCTGACAGAACTACAAGGGACCTCAGAGCATTCCCTGCTTAGATGGCTTCAGACCCAGGCACGTCCACTTCCTAGGGCCCGGCCCCAGGACGCAGATCCTCCCATCTTCTGTCCTAAAGAAGTACAACTGAGAGGCCTGAGGAAAGAGGGGGGCTGGCCTACAGGGGTCCACCCACACGCCACCCTTCTCCCTGTAGAGTGAAAAGGAACGGAGACCACTCTGCAAACTGCAGGGGCAGGCTTAAAATAGGCAGAATAGAATCATAACCTAAGCTGGAGCTGAGCAAGCCCACCAGGGCCAACACGACTCATCGGTCAAGAGACACCCCTCAGCCCTCCGGGAGACCAGGCAGAGCCCCAAGGCCACGGCCACGAGCGTGTCCACCAAGTCCTCACCATCCCCAGCCCCTCTGGGGCCTCAGGACACCACCAGCGGCTTCAGGGGTTTTCCAAGCACCCCTGTGCTTGCAAGCACACACGTGTTGATGAAAGGAAGCAAAGCACTGCAGGACAGGAAGGTAATCTCATAATTAAAGGAAAGCCTGTTTTTCAGGAAAATCTCCACCTTGTGGGGACCTTACCTTAAAAGATGCCAAGGTCAACAGGAGAAGTCCTGCATCACCTGCTCTAGGTGCCTTTCAGGTGAGTTAATCACCCAGGCAGGGCTCCCCTCCAGATTTCGGGACACACCCAACTTTGTGCCATTCCCTTTCGGCTCTCTGATAGCCTTTTTGAAAAGAAGGCTTGTTCCTTTTGTTCAGGAGCATTCATTCAAATTCCTTTCTAAGGCCAAGGCAAACGCAGGGCAGCAACCCAAAAGAGGTTCACCCCGCAGAGTCAAGTTTCAGGCCGGTTTCTCCAAGAGTGGTGCAGACAGACTATTCCAATTAGGTGAACCCTCCCCATCTTCCCTGCTTCTTTACCCAAGGCCCTGTGTTGAACACAAGAACCAACTCCTAGTGTAAGATGCGCACAATGAATCCAGGTGGGAGGGCAGGAGGGAGGGGCAGCATCTCATCCACCTCCAGCCCCTCCCCCAAGTGAGGGGTCCCACGGGAAGGAGGGGCCGCTTTGACAAGACTCCCACTAAGAGCCCTAACTTGGAAATCCCTCCATACCTGCTGATAACGTGACACCTGGCAAGTAAATCCAATGTTACCACACAAAAAAAACCCTAAGCGCAGTTTCTGAAAGCTATCCACATAATCCCAGGGAGTGTGCGTGGGTGTGTGTTCATGGGAGCGGGGGTAGCATCAGAGACACCCAGATGGAGGGCCAGGGAGAAAATGAGACCAGAAGGACAGAAGGGGTCTTAACTTGCCTAGTGTGGCAAAGTCATCCCCAAATGTACCCAAATGCCAGGCAAAAGCCAAGACTTCTCAATCAATTAAAGAGAGGCCAGAGCTGGAAGGAGTTGGAACTAGTGAAACTCCAGGACCCCTTACTTCCTTAACCTCCCCGACCCTCAGTTTCTTCGTGGGGAAATCAGGGACTCATTTCGACCCGAGAGAGAAGGTGAAGATAAATGGAAGCAATAGCACTGTGCCTGGCCCTTGAAGTCCTACTGGGTGTCTAGTCTTTACCTGCAAAGTCTGCGACCCAGAGGGGCAGACTTCTCCCCAAACATCCAGCACATGGGGGTGCGGGGGGGGGGGCTGTCTACTGAGCCAGTCCCTCGGGCTTCTTCTGATCAGGAGCCATGCTGTTCATTAACCCAGAAAGCGTAGTGAATTTAAAACAGGCCCAGTCCAGGAAACTATACAGAAACTCCCCCATTGGCATTAGATTGGGAGATCCTAACAAAAGATGGCTAATCAAAGAAGGAAATGAAAACAAGCCCGACTTCTCATACCCCACGTGATCTGGAAAGCGAGGCTGGGCCTGAGAACGATAACTGTTTCTGAGAGGCCTGTCTGAATGGATCCAGAGAGAACATGCCAGACTCTGAGGCCACCTGGAACTGTCTCCCCTCTGTTCTCAGGGTGGCAAGAAGGGAGGCTCCCCGGGCGGGCATTCCTCTTCCACCAGGAAATCCTGCTGGAACCTCAGTGCCAACAAGCTCAGTTCCAATCCCAGCTCTGTCACAGGCAAGTCACCCAAATGCCTCCTGCACCGGACCATCACACCGCTTTGTTGTGAAAATCCCACACAACATATACCAAGCCTCAGACAGATACTAAGTAAACAAATGCTCACTAAAAGGTGGTTATATTGTTACCTTGACAAAAATAAGACAGCTACTTAAGTAACCTGGTGGATATCCTGAGCATCCAATTAACTCTGCAAGTATACAAAGAGCCAAGCACACAGGAACTCCACCAAGGAGAAGGGTGCAAAGTGGAAACGCCTGAGGTCCTGCTGGCTCTACCACTCCCTGGCGGGCGACCTCGCATCACATGGTGCATCAGGCTACAAGCCAAGGAGCAGAGGAAGCAGTCAGGTAGGTAGGTCCCTGTCCTGAACGCAGATTTGGAGGAAGGCCGGTGTAGCCCTCAGGGTCCCACAGCAACTGCTACAGCTGTTCGTAGTACAATTCAAACACCCAAATTGGAAGGCTGCTGCAGAGACCGTGGCCTCCACACCCCCAAGAAAGGGGATGCCACGCTGGCCAAGTCGCAGAGACGCACGGCCCTTGCATCTTGGCCACCATCATGCAGTCAGTCAGTGAACCTCCCTGTTCACTGGGAAAGAGGGGGGATGGAGAAGACATGACAGGGATGTGACCCCAGGTTTGGGGTCCCCGGATCTTGTGATCACTGAGGGTGGCTCAGGCACGGTCCAGCCAGGTACTTGATTTTGCTCTGAGCCTTGGCTACGGGTTCGGGGGGTTCGGGGTCTACCTTGGGGTGCTGCACTGTCTTGTGGTTCCTTCCCTTATCCAACTCCCGGGGCCAGGAGAGGCGCGGGCAACCCAGAGGGTGTGGAGGGTGTACAGCCAGAGTCCTGCTGGACCCCCTCTGCTCAGGATAACCCACACAATGGCCAGTGGAAGGGAGGAGGAAGTGGACACTAGGGGACAGGGGCCATTTCTATCGCCTTCCAAGACTTCCCAGCAGCGGGAAGCAGCTCGCAATTTACAAGTGAAAAGGCAAGGCACTTCCGGGGGAGTCAGGTACATGTGGGGGGGCGGCGGGTACCAGAGCCAGCCGAGGGGGGAGGGCCCGGCTGCCAGGTCTGTGGACCCCAGGGGGTGGGGGGCCTCACCTGCAGGCCTGGGGTCCTAGAACCGCGGAAGCCCAGCTGTCCTTCCCTCAAGGCCGAGCACGCGGGCGCCCTTCGGGAAGACTGCCAGGCCCCGCCCCTCCAGGTAGAGGGCGGCCAGGTGTGGCGGGCTGGCCTTCACCCAGGCCCAGCTCTGCCCTCGCGGCAGCAGAAGGTCGTGCAGGAGACCGGAAGTCGCCCTGGATTCAGCCTGGGCTGAACATAGCGGTTTCCTGTGCCTGGGGCCCCCCAAACCCATGTGCTACAAGAAGCAGAGAATAGCCTCTTTATGACTTGGGGGCAGCAATTCAATATTTCTTCCTCGCATAAAACAGGAATTGCTCTATTTACCTAGCCCGCAGGAGCGTCGTGAAGATTAATGACTGTGAAATGTTTTTAAGATCAAAAACATTCTGAGATTTTACTTTAGGCACTTATATGTGCATATTGATATCTACAGACAAATATACTCTTTACTGGTTGCCCCCCTGGAGTGACTTCCAGCCCATAACCAGGAAGCGCAGAGAAAAAGGTGCATGTCTGTGTGCTCCTGGGATTCTAAGGAATCTGGGTAGAAAATGTCATTTCCACTTGGTTTCCACGCTGGGCCTCCTGCTGCACCCAGCCCTGAGGGCAGATGGAGATCGGTCAGCGGTACAGACTTCTGGAGAAGGAACTAGAAAATTATTCTAAATATCTGTCACCCCCCCCCACTGGGAAGAAATCACAGCACCCACCCTCCACCCTCCGGTCCACTAGACAAGTGCCCCCAAGTGCGGGGCACCCTGGGGGCCTCCGGGTTTGGAAAGCTCTACCCCACCCCCGGACCCAGAGGTCAGCCAAGCTCAGCCAGTGCTGCGGGCCCACGCTGCACATCTGGCCTGGCAGCTCCAAGGCAAGGCCTCCCTGGTGTCACCAGCATGCTGTCCCTCCCAGCAAAGCAAGCCCATGTGACCAGACGAGGCCACTCCACTCCAGGCTGAATGTTCTTAGTCCCCTCAACCGTTCCTGGGCAGGGTAGTTAAGAGCTCTGGAGGGCCCACCCTGCTCCCTGCAGTTCTGGCTGCAGTCCAGGTAGGCAGGCTGGGCAGTGGTAGCATCCTATGGGCTCTCCCCGACCCAAAAAGGCACTGCACCCACCCCTTCCCTAGGCCCACCTGGGCCTGAACAAGCAGGGGATAAACTGTGACTTTGTTTGCACTTCCAGATAGACCACACTAAAGACATCCATCAGCAAAAGAATCAAGTCCCAGCCAGAGTCCATTCAACAGGAAAGGTGCACAAACCCTTTCTTGGCCTCTCACCCCCTACAGCAAAGGAACCTCACCTGCAGAAGTTCCCCCACACCCTCCCCGCACACCTGGGGCAGGTACAATACTAACACTGCCAGGTTTGAGTCAGGCCCCTTACACCTAGCAAATGATTTTCTGCTGGCCTCCACATTAGGCTCGCTTTTTATTGTAAACTGTCATACTAGGGGGAAAAATTCCATCAGGCCAGAGCAGCTGACCTCTACGACCTTAGTCCACCGTTCCTGCCAAAGACACTTCCTGGGACTCCGTGACTCCATCACGGTTCGTCCTGGGAAGGGAAAGGTTGCCAGTGGCCAGACTTCAGGAAGGGCTGGAGGGCAGCAGAGTTTACAGCCCCTTGGCTGGCTGGCT